GCGATTGTGCCACTCATGTACAGCTTCTTCTTCTTTGTACCTTCACAATATCAGACAGTGTGTGTCTCTTCAGGCCTTCTATGTGGCTCAGTGATGAAGCTGCACCACTTGGTCTACGTCAACGTGCGAGAAGCGAGACGGCTGCGACATCGGCCTCGTTGCAAACGTTGATGCTCCCCTCTGTCGCTATCACTCGACTGCCACGGCTCGCAATATCGTTGCCATCACGTCACTCATTTAGCAAGGCGCAAGGCCTGCTGAAGACGTACGAGGTCCTAAGACCTCACTATATTGATGGACTCGCTCCGAAGGTGAAAACACTTGCTCTGTTCAATCGACTATCGACAGGAGCCACCAGGCGGCACGTCAAACTTTGCTGCCACCGCTCAAGATCCGGTCCCAGCAAACGATTGGTACCAGATTATCCTCAAGCCATCGTGTGCACTCCTCCATACTCTGTCGGATCGACGCCCCGCTGCTTTCGTCCACGCACTTCCACGTTTGGCCCCGTACTGCGGTCGACAAAAGGCGAACGACCTTCAACAGCTGGTACAGTCAGTAGGTGCCTAAATGAGACCATGACTTGTCGCTGCTGATAGTGCCACTGAACAGATGGTCACGGGGCGCGCCCTACTGAATGGCCAGTCAAGTCACAGCACGTCACCACAGCAGTTCACGAACATGGCGACTTGGAAGTCCATCAAATGTGCTGTGCAGCACGAGATTGCTAAGCGCAAAGGCTCTCGTTTCATATCAGCAGCTTGGCCGTTGTCAGGGCACGGCGATGCAGCTTCGGACGTGGCAAAACAAGTCATTGAGACCCACCGCTGTCGATTTCCAGCTGCCAGCCACCACTGTTACGCCTACACAACGATGGACGGAAGCAAGCTGTGTTCGGACGACGGGGAGCCGCACGGCACAGCTGGACGTCCGATTCTAGCCACGTTGCAACGAGCTGAGCTTGTGGACGTTTGTGTCGTGGTCACAAGGATCTTTGGCGGCGTCAAGCTCGGACCTGGCGGTCTCATTCGAGCGTATGGAGCTGCTGCGCAAGGAGTGATAGAGCAGGCCGAGATAGTCGAAAAGGTACCGATGCGATTGGTGCACGTCCGAGCGGCCTTCTCGTGTGCGAGCATGGTCCAGCGAACGTGTACGTACTTTGGTGCTGAGATTGTGTCGCATGAGTACGCTCAAGAGGCAGCGTTCACGGTTTGCATTCCTGTCCACAAGAGTGGCGAGTTCATGCAGTTCCTGCGCACCAAGTCAGTCGGACGCGTGGAAGTAAAGGAGCTGTAAACGGTGATCGACATGCTTGTCGTTACCAGATTTCGTAGTCAAAACGCCATGCATTTGCAGCAACCAATGACGCGACGAAGCGATTTGTGCTCGATAGCATCAACCGAGGTGGCTAAAGCAGTGCGTGTTGGTTGACTAAAACCTCTTTCGGACCGCGCGATCCGTGACATCTTGCCTTCGTTTGTGCTGTACATGGCAGGCATCGAACGAAGCTATGTCTACCGTCTTGCACGGATAGCGGAATGCCTTTTGGTGACTCGCACATCGCTTCGACTATAGCGTGCCTGCAACGCGTAGCAGTGCTGAACGTGAACGCTTGCGACTGTCTGCCCACCAACGATGAAGTCAGCAGTTGCAAAGCCGACACATGCATCGGAAAGACAGTCACCTAGCGCGATCTTGCTTCTACAACTGACGCCAACAACACCGCTACTGCGCTCTTTATTACGCAGCACTGTCAGCTCGATGATCACCGACGTCTGACTGATAGGCGGCAGCCTCGAAGGATTCGTGACTTTGTATACAAACTGTTGTCGCACGGATCGGGTAGTTGCTTCAATCGTACAGCAATAAGAACTCAGTCCTGTCCGAAGGGCAGCAGTCGACTGCTTTCTTGCTCTGCCGTGCACGCACCGCTGTTTCCTCTGGCACGCTTGTAGCCGCCACTTTCATGGGAACACACTGCATAATGTCACTTGTCACGGCGTCCATCCTGAGACGTAGCGACACTGCTGCCGTCTTGCTTCAAGAACCACAGCTCAACAGCACTGACGTCACTGCCAAGCGTCGGCGCTCGTAAAAGGTGGCGTGCGTTGCATAGAAACCGCTGTGGTCCTTGAATTGAAGCCGCATGTGATACGACAGCAACTGTTATTCGAGAAAAGCTCAGGAGCTTCTCGGTGCGACTGCGTTTATGCGCGATTGAGAGTGTTTGGGGTGTGCTTTGTACACGCAGATGGTCGTTGCACTGCGACGGAAAATCAGGGGAGTGAAGAGGATTGGGCCACATTGGGCCACATTGGGCAGCATCATTGGCGCGTCCTCGTTGAGTGTACCGCGAAAGCGCACGCGTGACCAGTGTGGCTTGACGTGCTCTTCTAAAGACCTGAGTCAAGCACTCAGAAGTGTTGGGATTCGCTGTGATGTCGAGCGCGAGAAACCGCCGAGTTGTAAGGCGTACAAGCGTGAAAAGACTCGAGGTACAGCAATCGACGTTATCAGAATGGCAACGGCAGCAGACATAAACGGTTCCATGACGGTCCGTAGAAACGAGCAAACGAAGGCGTGACAACATCTGCGTCGTTGCATACAGCACCTGTGTGGGTTTCCAGCTACAGGTCTGTCATATCCTCGCAACTGTGCAGTGCGAAAACGCACCCATGTTACGCCAATATGCTGTGTCTGTAGCCTGTTCTCTCTCTCATCGTGAGCAGCGTTCACGATGATCAAATAGCTGCGGACGTTGCTGGGGAGTGCAAAGCACGTCCTGCGTGAGTGTGAAACCCCAATCCGCACTGCGGACACGACACATCCACAATTGACGAGTTGTATCTAGATGGGTCGCGTTTCAGCCGATTGGAACTGCACGCCCGGGTGCACTGAGATTGAACGCGACCCAATTTCACTGGCGCAACGCAATTTGCATTTCTTTACCGTTTCACACACACATGGCCAAGGTGCTGATCAAGTGTGCCAGACGGTAGTGACCCGTATGAGATGTTGCTCATAGCTTGTGGCTCGGGACTTCCATGCAATGGTCTCGTCTTGACACATGGTGGCGACGAACCTGCGACTTGTCGAGAGACAGCGAACAGGAAGCAGAAGTTGTTTCATATTCTCACCT